GTGGGTGCTTCGGGGGCCCGCCCGACGCATCCAGCGTCGTAGGGCTCGGCCTCGGCGAAGCCCGAGGGGAAGCACCCCCAGCCCGCGAGAGATATCATTGCATACAGACGAATATCCATCGGAGTTCGTGCTGCACGGTGCGCAGGGACCCTGAGCTCGATCGGCTTGAAGCTCGCTCGCTCGCTCACAGGCTTAGTGTCGGATTTCCGTTCGTCGCCCGATGTCCCAGTCAGGCCCGACCAGAGACCACGCGCAATGCCGAGTATTATTATTATTCTTCTTCTTCGTCTTCTTCTTCTTCTTATTATTCTTATTCTTCTTCTTCTTCTTCTTCTTCTTCTTCCTCCTCCTCCTCCTCCTCCTCCTCCTCCTCCTCCTCCTCTCGTTCAAACTACGTAGCTCGCACAGCACGGCTTACATCATCTGGCTTGCACAGTCTAGCTTGCACCGCACAGCTTACCTCCCATGCAGCTTTCACAGCACAGCTTGCATCGCACAGCCTGCACAACCTAGCTTGCACCACACATATCCAGCCACTCAGCTTCGACCGAACATATGGCACCACATAGCTCGCACCATCTAGCTTACCCCACATTGACAATACCGATAGCCTACACATGTTCGACCCAGCACAACATATATTTCAACACGTATATTGTACGATGTAATTTACAGCGCAAGCCGTATACAACATAATCTGCGTCACACAGTTCGCACCACGTGGCTTGCACTGTATCTATTCCAATGCCCACAATGCACCACATAACTGTCACAGCCAGAGGCAGTCAGCCATGGGACCAAGGCTTGCTAACCTACATATGGACACACGTCATGCTGATCTAGCATGTATGCATGCGCCTGCATATCTTGAGAGAGAGGGAGATATGAACATCAACATACAGAGAGAGAGGGAGCACGGAAGAGGGGGAGAAGGAGAGAACGAGAGAGAGAGAGGGAGAAGCTGGCGACGATGGATTATGGAACAATGAGAGCGGGACGTGGGTAGTTCTTGGAGGGGAAAAGGGAGAATAATTACGCGCAGTATGGGGGTTATGGGGAAGGGGGAGACGAGGAAAGATGAGGGGGGCGGACCGAGGAGGGTGGGAGAGGAGGGGCGAAGGGGAAGGGGGGGAAGAAGGGGGCAGATGGAGGAGGGGAGGAGAGGAGGGATGCAAAGGGGATAGGAAGGATGGAGCAGACGAGGAGGAGGAGGGGAAGGAGGAGAAGTGCGGAGGCTGGATTGGGGGGGGGAGAACGAAGGAGGCATGATTAGGCGAGTGGGGGGCGACTCCAGCGGAGTGGATGCTATAGAACAAGGCCTTTCAAGAGCTACCTGCCAGGAATGCCCGAGATGGCGGCGGCGACACTGGTGCTGGCGCCACTGCAGGAGAGAGTCGGCCTCCCTCCCTTCCTCCCTCCTCCTCTCCCATCGCCATTTTGGATGGAGATGGCTTTCCTCTCGCGGACGACGCTCCAGGCGATTCACTGTTACCGCTGATCCGCGGCAGGCATCCCAGTTTCCCCGCGCGAATCCTGCTCACTACAAGGGCATCACAGGTGGCCACCCTCCCAATACCAGACTCAAATTCGCTGGCCCTCGCGAACTACAGTGAGCATTCGCCTGCCATGCCCTAGACCCAAAGCTGCAGGTCCCCGTGATCGTCACGTGCGCAAACACCGTTGCAGTCGAGGCGGAATGGCAGCATCTTCAGCACCAGGCTCCCCGGGCATCGCCGATAGCTACAGCCGCGGCAGTGGAACAGAACACCGTGAACGACAATATCGAAACTGTGCCGTGCCGTCCATAGTGCGCAACAGTTTCGAACAAAGACGATCAACGACAGCGCAAAGCAAGCCTGATGGCCCATTGGTTGCCTCTCGAAGCGTGCCGCCGAGGATGCGTGGAACAGGAGGAAGAAGGAGAGCAGAGGAGGGCGCGGACTGGGAACAAAGGCCCAGGCGTTGTGCTCGGGAGCTTCTCGGCCCATTCGGCTGTCGGCCCATTCGGCTGTGTATAGAAACCACAACGGCAGCCAAGAGGCGCAGTGTGCGACCAAGGGAGCGAGAAGGACGGGGAGGAGAGGAGCCCCCTCCAACAACAAATGTTGAACAACGACATTCGAGGCAAGTGAGAAGGACAACGAGCGGCAGAACAGCGAGTATTCCGAGAACAGCGATTTCGACCGGCTGGCGGAGCGGACCCCTGAGCAGCATCGGCAGCAGCAGCATGCTTTGCACACGGACGAAATGATACAGGACCTGCATCACCGACCAGCGCAGCACCCACAGCGACAAGCTCTGGAACAGCAGCAGCCCGATAGAACGATCGAACGATGGAAGCACGGGACCTCGCTGGCCTCCCTTGCTGCCAGCCGCCCCCAGCAAAGAGCTCGCCGGCCTCCACGCCGACCAGCTCGCCTCGCTTGAGAAAGACCCCGCGCATAATGCCCACCCAGCCGCAGATGGTGCAGTCAAAGTTGCAGGCCCAATGACACATGCAACCAATGCTTCCACGGCGCGCACAGCAGACATCGGCGCAGAAATATCCTGTACAAGATCTGGACGCCCGAAATGGGTACGGAAAGAATGGGTACAATGCCCAACAGCAGTTCCTGTTCACTTTGAACATGACTCGCTGCCCACGCCGCCGCGGCTTGTGTCCATTTGAGACAGAGGGCCGCCTGCCCAACAGCGGCCGCTGTTGGTTTGGGACAACATTTGCTGTTGGGCATTGTACCCATTTTTTCGTTACCCATTTCGGGCGTCCAAACAAGAGGACCGCCATACTTCCAACGAGGCTTATCACGGCACTGGCCTGCCACACGGCTGCCACCGTCGTCAAGGCAGAGCAGCAGTGAGCGGCGCGGGCGGCGCAGTTGCTGAGCTCACGTGCGATTCGTTACCTCTTTATGCTCCGTCGCTCCCACCCGTCCACAGCCTCCTCCCTCTTCGTCCCTCCTGCTGCTAAATGATTCCCCGCCGCACCACCAGAAGTTGTCGGCATGGTGTTCCAGACGTTTTGCCCGAGACGGCCTCACACTTTTACATCCTCCAGTTTGGGAGGTATCAACATTCAGATGAGCCCACTCCTTCTGGCCTGGGCGCCAGCTTTTTGCGCAAAGTAGTGTCTTGTCGTGCGAGATGAACTAATGCTCGAATGTGTATTGTGCTATGTTCATGCGCGCTATATGCCGCCTGCCTATATACATGTATATATGTGTATATATACACATATCTGTATGTGTATATATATATATATGTCATGCTACGCTACGCTGCGCGATGCGATGATGCGTGGCCCAGTTACTGTAGAGCCGTAGTGCGCTAAGTGGCGCCATAGCCATGCAACGAAACACGGTATTATAAATTGCATTGCACGGCACCGCGTTACGTTGCACATGCATGCCCTTCCCGATCCCTCTAATTGTTGTCGCGTTGGGTTAATATAAATGGGGCTTCCGCTGAATAGTTTCAGGTTGTATGATCCTGCATCTTGAACTTTCCGTCAGTGGTACGGGTTCGGTTCAGCGCAGGCATGGTTCAGTATTTGTCTCTCGCTTGAGACTTCGTATTCGTTTGCATGGTGAAGTTTAGAATTTGCGAGGCGCAGCTCATGATGCGCAGCATAACGGGAACAATATAGGAGCGAGGCCCTACGGCTAGCACCTTGCGTCCGGGGGACGCTATGGCCAGGGCCTTGGGCAGCCCCCTTTTTCTGGGCGGAGCAATGCGGCCAGGACTTGTTGGGCGGGATCCTGCGGGTGACACCCACGGGTGACCGCCAATACCTAATGCACGCTTAGCGGCAAAACTGGGCACCCAGGGCGAATTCATCAGAATGCCAGGATGCCCCTTCATGCAGGCAATGCTTGGGGAAGCCTAGCGATTATATAGTTTGCATTTTCATATACTGCACAGATATGTGTATATAGATAGTTGTGTTTATATGTCTAGGCTCAGTTATATATATATATATATATATATATATATATATTGTGGTTCTCTCTGATAAAAGTATGCTATCGCTTGAACCTCCTACTGTATTGGTGTGGCGGCTCCCTAATATTGCCTTTTTCCCTTCGGCGCTGCGCACGTAGACTTACTGGCCTTAGACACGGAGAGGGCCGCAGACACGGAGAGGGCCATTCCCCTTCAAACCCACGATGTGTTGTAGCGCATTGCGGCCACATTCTCCTACGATCGCCGATGTCGCAGGCCTAGGGGTTGACACCAACACCAATATCGGCGGTGTGCCTCCACCGAGGGAAGAAGATCCAGATCTCGGTGATGGTGGTAATATTTTGGTTTCCAAGGCGGCCGAAACATTACCACTAGCACCGAGATGGAGGATTATCTTCCCCCTGTGGAGGCAACCCCCCTGTGTTGGTGTCGGTGCCCATTTCCAGGCCTCCAACGATGCGCAGTTCAAAGCCGGCTGAGCTCTCGCCGTGCAGGCCCGCGCGGCCGCCACCTCTCCAGCGGGCGCAGGCCGTGCCCAGCTGGGGCCAGATGGTGAACTGGGGCGCCGGTGAAGTGGCTTGGGCGTTGCGGGCTCTCTCGTCGTCGTACTCCTCCTCCTTCAAGTCTCTCCTCCTCCTCCTCCTCCTCCTCCTCCTCTCGGCCTCCTCCTCTTCCTCTTCTTCCTCCTCTTCCTCTTCCTCCTCCTCTTCTCGTCCTCCTCCTTTTTCTCGAACGCAAGAAATCGGTTGTGGCGAAATCCAAGTCAGAGCCAGGGTCTGGGTGCCCCTCGAGTCCAGACCCGATCAAGTCGCCACGAATGTTCGCTGGAAGTCCGGACACCTGAAGAAGTAAGCAGAAATGATCGAGCACGATAGCCACAATTGTCAATGGCACCTCGTGGACGAGCCTTACAGACTCCAGCGCGGGCGAGACGGACCTCATCCTGGGCCAGGGCCAGGAGACCCACATCGCAGGCATGGCCGCGTGCCGCACGCAAGAGGGCTGGGCCAAGGCGGCGCAGTGAAAGGCTCACCTCGACCCAGCTGTACCTACAGGGAAAGGAGGAACCAGCGGCAGTCTTTGCACCATCACGGAGCAGTGGAAAGGCCTCGCCGAGTACGCGATCCTCAGCCCAAGGTGCGAAGAGGCGCAAGGTAGAATCCAGATCTGATGCTGGAGAGGATGGATGGAGGTGTCGTGGTGGGTAACGCGTACTTGTGCAACAACGAGGGCCTCACCAGCAGGAGCAGACTGCTGCTCAACACCCTCACGAAGGAGGTAAGGAGGCTGCAAAGGCCCGTCTCCGTCGGCGGGGACTTCAACATACACCCCCGTGAGCTGGAAAAGTCAGACGCACTTGAGACTCTCAATGGCGAAGTGATCATGGCGAGCGGCCTCACGTTCGCTGATGCCACTGAGGGCACAATCCTGGACTGCTGGATCATGCCCAAGGGTCCGGGCAGCTGAGTGGAGAGGTGCGACAGGATCCAGAATCGACTAGGCGTAAGAGTGACCTTTCGCCGGAGTGACCTTTGGTGCGGGCACAATGGGGTTCCCCGATCGCCGAACGCGATGCGATAGTAGTGCCTTCCGCGCCTGTGTTTGTGGCCCCCCCGCGGCCCCCCAAAAGCCGCGCACCAAAGGTACTATTATTAGTATTCGTATTCGTCCTCTTATTATTGTTATCATTCGTCCTCCCCCTCCTCCTCCTCCTCCTCCTCCTCCTCCTCCTCCTCCCCCTCCTCCTCACTCTTGCCCAGGGTCACTCCTGCGTGTAGCCGAAGGAAGTTGCCAGGCCCGACAGGAGAGCAGTGCGGACCGACGCGGGAGAGGCAGCGAGGAGGGCGGCGCGTGACGACGGCGACTCCTCCTCCTCCTCCCTTCAGCTCCCGAGCGAAGTGAACCCCACCCTCCCCTTCAGAAATCGTGGGGGGTAGGGGTAGGGTTCGCATGTGGCCCCCTAGCCAAGGCACGGGCCGCAGCGGTCAGGCGAGAGGGCGAAGCTCGGGCACGGGCGCGAGAGGTCCGGAGAGCGCTCCGAGTCCGTCGGCGAACTGGCGATAGGGCTGGGCAGAGGTTGCCCGCACCTTGTTCACCTGGCATCGCTGGGACGTGTGCATTTTTTCTCGGCGGGGACCATCGAGGACCATCCTGGACAATCGAGCAAAACAAACACGCACGAAACCGAAAAATGAACGGGAAATGGACGTCCGAGCGATACCGAGGTTCAAGTTGCGTACCGGGGTCACGAGGTGATGTCAGCTGGCACGGGGATGTTCTGCAACGCGTGCGGAGTCAGGAGTGTGGGGGGGAGCCAGCGATGCTGCTGGCTCGAGTGTGTGACGGGCAGCCCGACGACAAGAGCGCGAAGACCAGGTTCAACCACATGCGAGAAGGAAGGCACCCAGTGACCCACCAGATCGTTGG